GGTAAAGCATTTTTTTTAATGTCTGCAAGCACCCATAAACTTAAAATCGTATGCTGTATTCTGGGTGGGGCTTTTAAAAAGACGGATATAATTAATGATGAATATTCTAGCACGTAGGTGTCATGTTATCAGACATCTTTATCAGTCACATAAAGAATGATCTGAGTAGTTGGCAGGAGGCTCAGTTGGAAATAAGGTGGTTTTATAAAGAGGAAAATATACAGAACAGTGCTTCTGGGCCCATCACTCAAGTATAGAAATACATTGTGCATAAAATTGTCCACAGTCATTGCTGGAAGCCTGGGCATTTGTCTGTTCCCTAATGTGCAGCATGCTCATTTGCATATCATGAGCTCCTCACAGGAAGGTCAGATGTGTAATTCTGAAATGCCCAGGAAATTAGTAGGTATTGTAAACCCAGCGGAAAATTGTCACAGGAGTCAGGGGAATTGTCATCCTTTCTCCAGACTTTCTGAAGGATGGGCAGTCTGGCTTATGGAGAGAACTGTTCTGTATTAAAGAGGTACAAAGAAGAACACTATATCCTGAGAGTTGTTTTGCAGCTTTACCTTCAAGTTGGAGAGGGTGGTTCACTGATCATAACTAGATTAATCAGGCCCATAGGAAAACTGAGACCAAAAATTTCAAAACTATTTGTCTAGAGTTAGGCTTCTGAATCTATGGTTAGGCATGTGAATCATGGGCCTGGTTTTCCAAAAGCCTGAGCAGACTGTGGTTGGTGGGATTATACTAATGATGCATTGGATCAAAGTCTGGTTAGATCCAAGTTTGAAAGAGAGCAGAATTTGATCTGTTCTCTGCCATTTTTGGAAAAAGAGTCTGGAAAATGTCTGGCCAGGTACAATTCTATGAGTTATAATCATGCTTGTTCTTTGCAGCTTGCTTCACTAGGAAAGTTTTGATTTAAACAAAGCAATCAACTCTGGTCTCTGGGGCCAATATCTGTGCTCTGATACAATGGACTGGAGAAAGGAATTAAATCTACCTAAAGTTCCACTTCTGAAGTATGAAGGCAATGGATTTAGTCCACATTTATATCAGAGTAAGTACAGAAATTGGCCTTTGCCCTCTGTACTACCAATCCATAAAGATGCTATGCTTGAATATCATTACGTGATTATAAGGGAAAATCAGCATAGTACTCAAAGGTAATACAGTGTTATACTAATTCTCTAAGGAATAATGAGTACTGGAAAACGTTCCACTTGTAAAAGAGTGCATATTGAGAAGGGCACAAATCCAGAATCCTGGTTGTTTCTATCACTTCTTTGATATTTAAGGATTGTTTGTGACGAGAGGCAAGGTGAAGAGTACTGGGTTAAATAGTCTGTAGTTAACTAAGCTATTGCATTGACACACCAGACTGAGAGCAGCTAAAGAACTGCTCTACAATAAACGGTGAAGCTTTTCCTGAGTCTCCCAAGTGTTTATTCCCAAATCAACTAAGTAGCTTCTTGTTCTTTTATTTTATAATCAAGAATGTTTCAGTCCTGTCCTTGTCTAAAGTCCTGTAGTAAACCAGAATTTAGGTTTATAACTGGAATAGGATTCCCTTCCACATCCAAAGGAATGTGCCTGCTTGGCACTATTCAGTGCAGTGTGTTCGACTTATTACAGTAAGGACTCCTAAATCTCAGTGATGGACATGCACAGATCATATGCGTTAGGATCCATTTTGTTTTAGGAACTCTATCTGAAGCTGAAGGAGGGAGAAAGATGGAACATGGGAATAAATCTTGTGGCAGAGTAAACTGAACAAAGGAAAAATAAAGAGAAGGAAGAAAGGGAAGTAAAGAGGGCAGGAACTGGGACTGAATAAATCCAGGGAGGAAATACCATAAAAAAACCCTGTTGAAACATCCTTTAGCCTTTTATTTTTTGGACATTTGTTATTCTCTCTCTCTTTCTCTCTCCATCCTTGTTTCTCTTCTGACTGTCTCTCCCCCTTTCACTGGAAGCAATTGACTGGCTATAAAAATCTTTCAAAGAAAAACTCCTTGGGCTGCTTCCATCAAGAAAATACTGCTTAAATGCTAGGATCCTGTGGAACAGTTTTTCTTACAGATTCCACCCACTCACCCCACCCACCCTTAGGTTCAGTCTTCGGAAGCAACGGTATTGCTGCATAAAATTCTGTGGGATAAACAGGTGATTTAAACCTTCTCCTTCCATGTAAATATGCTGACCTGTTTTGAGAAAGATTCCTAGTCCCAGCAATATTCCTCCCATTTTAGTACAGGGAATCTCTCTCAAAAGCAGTAGATTTGTTCAAAATTAAAGAAACTTTTAAAGTATGTTCCCTTGTAGTGCCAGGACTAAGCTGGTCTAACTGAGAGGCATGGCTCTCCCAGATGTACCACATTTGGAGATATTAAAGCACCTTACTAATACTAATTGACTGTCTCATGATTCCCCTGTATGATTATTATTTTATGGCATTTTACACAAGGTGAACTATGACAGAGAGAATGCAGAATAGTTGGCAATAGAATTCTTGGCTCCTGCCTCATTGTTTCCTGCTTCTTGCTCTGAGGCATATTCCAGCTCACTGAATACACCATGCTCAGACCTTTTTTTTTTTGGTCTATGTGAGTGCTGCTCTCCCCTGGCAGAATAATCTCCCCCATATGTAACAGAATCTACCCATCACCATTTTCATTGTTGGGTATGCTGTGCCTCCATCAATATGGGCATTACTAGCCAGTTAACTCAGGGTTTGTAGAAGGCTCGTTTCTACAGTTGTATCTGACCTGTTCAGGATCAGACACTGTCCATTCGGATTCCTTGGTTTTACCTTCTTACTATGATGAGGCTACTTATGGTGGGGTAGTTCCCCTAAAAATGCCACAATGTTGCAACCTCCAGAGTAAGGCGATTATAGGACACCTCAAAACCCTAGCCCCCACTGCCTAGTGGGTACTCCTTGGTTGGAGAAAGACTAAGGGACATCACCCTGACAGAAACACACCCTTGCTGAGCATTTGGCAGTCAGCAGCAGTCCTTATCTGTTGCTCTGTGGCAGAAATTACAACTATTGAAACACTGAACGTCTGGGCTTGGTCTTGCCTTTGGATTCTGTCACAATGACCTAAAGGGGGCATGGTAGATCTCAGGTAGGTTTCACTCCTCCATACACTGCCTGGGTGTATGTGATGAAGATCTTGGTGTGATGGCCACAGGACTGTGTACAAGTGTACCTGACTAGACCTCTTATACATATACCATGATCCAGAGGATTGACAGTTGCCTACTTCCTTTGGCCACCTCAAGATTATCAATGTCTGTCTTTTCCAGCGTCTCTCCTCTACCTCTATGTTTTCTTATGTGTTAAAAGCTAACATTTTTTGCTAAATTCCTGTAATCCCCACCCTCCTCACCTTGCCTTCAAACCCCACTCAGTAGTTACAGCATCTCCATTTTCAGATCTGCCTCCTCACTATACAAAATGTTATTTAAACCAAGATCTATTTCATTTCTTTTCCCCTTTAATTTCCCTTCCTCATGCAAAGTGACCCCTGTCCCAGGGGCGTGATCTACGAGCCTGTTGAAGTCAGTGAGGGAGCCTCCCCATTGACTTCAACAGGCTTCAGATCACATCCTGGGCCAGTGTCCCGTACTTGTTACCTTTCCAAGCTTAGGCTTTCAATGAACACATTGTCTGTCCCAAACTATTTGTCATGAGTTCCTTTTCTCTCTGGTCACCTGTACCTTTATGTGATTTACTCTGCTCTATTATTTGCTGATAAACAATTTGATCACTTCCTAACCTCTGTTCCTGTTGCTGATATGCAGCTCTACTCATTGCCTTCTCCTATGGGACTGCACAGAGATTGGGGTTTACAAAGCACCACTGTCCATCCTCCATCCTCCAGGCAGGAATGGAACCTGCACAGGAGACAAAATAAGTTCCACCAGCAGTGGAGACCCCTGCCCCTTCTGCACCTCTTGTTCAGTGTGTCATGCTTGCTCACGCATCACTGCCTGAGTTCCTGGCCTAATGAGAGTTATCTTTGCTAATCGTAACAGCATGCTGCATAAAATGGGCAAATTCTGAGCTGCATCCTGAAAATGCACCCAGCTGAAGGTGCTCACTCCCTGAAGGATATGAGTGCTCCTGGTGCAAAAAGCCCAGGGCCCAGATACGGTCACTGTGGCAGGGCATTGCTTGTGCCTCCCACTTTAAGAGCCTGAGACAGCAGCCGGCAGGTGCCTGATGAGGGCAGCCATTTTAGATTCAGGGCTGCCCATATAAGCAGGGCATTTCACTGCTGGGAGCCAGGCAACAATGCTGCCTGGCTGCTGGTATCACCGGGAGGTAAGGGAAGAGCTGTAGGGGGATGGTCAGGAGGCTCCTGGTCCTGGGCATGACTTAGAACTGCACCCTGCCAGGAGTGGGCAGCCTGGTGGGGTGCTCCCAGTGGTGCAGGAGCCCCCAGGAAATGCCAGGCTAGTGACCACCCTGGTGAAAGGCAGGTTGGGGTGCCTTAAACCCTAGCCCCCACAACTGGGTGGGTTACCCCTAATGGAGGGTGTGGAAGGTGGACCCAGAGAAAGAGAGTGGGGCCATAGACTTGCACCTGTCTGGACTTCCCCAAATGGTCCATGCTGGGGCCAGGACCGGAAGGGTCAAAGGGCCGGGGCGCACCGCAACGAACACCCAAGAGCTGTGTGCCTGGGGTTCTGGCTGGCCTGGAGGTCAGTAGCCCAAGGTCCCGGGGGGGAGAACCACACCTGAAGGGGAAGCAGTTCAGAGAGCTATGCTGCCCAGGACAAAGGTGGAATATGCTGCCTCAGGAGAGGAACCCAGGCGGGGTCCAACTAGTAGGATTCTGGGGCCCAGTTTAGGGCTGGTGATATGAATAACATCTGGATGCCATCTGCGAGGCTTGGGCTGCAGAGTAGGGGAGGAATGGAGCCTCAGATAGCACCCCCTGGCATTGGGGCAAGAAATGGGCAGCCTCCCACTTGATTAACATCTATTAATTAATAACCAACAAGGCATGGTGGGCAAGAAGGTGGGTGGTTAGCCCAGAAACAGGTGGGCTGGCCACAGTGAGATTGGCACGGAGTAGGCCCCCTGTTAGTCACATACAGTACAACCTCATTGCCACAAATCCTGTTTATTGCAAACCCCGATTTCTAGCAATTTCAACAGTAGGAACTGGTTGTTTTTATTATGATTCAGCAAATTGAGTCACCTTATTACAGTGAGCACACTCTCTGAATTAATCTTTCTGCATCCCCATGGGGTTTGTAGTAATTAAGTGGTACTGCATATGTCTGTGTACCCACAATTCTGTAGTTGGATTGAATGTGGCTGGAAATATAGTTCCTAATACTTTAAACTAAGTTTTTCCTCTAAATGAGCTTATAAGTTTCCTTTCGAAATGAGCCACTCCCTCATCTTAAGCTCTGACTTTCATCTTTGATTTTTAAGGGTATTTACATCTCCCCAAGCCTTCTGTTACCCCAAGGAGCTACGTGGGCTAGAGCTAGTGCTGGGCAAAGCTGGGCTGATCTTTGTTGAACCCTCCCTTACTTGGTCTCCTGAGGCTATAAAAGTCCCATAGTTCTTAGCCCAGAAGGAGGGTTTCATTTCACTCATTAGCACTTACTAGCTAATAAGGAACATGGTAGGACAGCATCCAAGAGAACTGCTTTGAAGTTGAAAAGATTTCAGTCATGGCATGAGGACTTTAAGGGTGTTGTGGGAAGAGTGTAATTTGTAAAGTGGGGGAAATTAGGGTTTCTTGTGGCTCCAATAGAAATGCAGAGATACTAAATTTTAAGGTACAGGAAATATTCTGAATTCAAAATATTCTGTGTAAGTTTAGTGGAGCATGTTTTAAAACCCCTTCTGGTAATCTAAAGAAAGCACAGGGTGGAAAGAGGCAGCATACGTCCAGCCAGAAAACTGTGATTGGCTGTAGGTGGGAAGGCACTGTTCTCTGGAGTTCCCATCAGGGCAAGCACCCTTTGGTTGGAACAGGGGGAGTAGCTAGAGGAGAGTACCTATTCTGTATGGGCTCTGACTGCTTGAGTCTGCCCTTGGGAAGGCAACAGGTGTTTTCAGATTATACTCTCCCCTATATAGCTGCTAGCCACCAGGGTTGGGTGTGGTGTTATACTGTTCAAAACCCCACTTTACTGTGTGCTTCTCTGCCAGAATAGTGCCAACAGGAACACTTCTATAGTGGGAACTTTGTTGACAGCACTACTATTTAGAGCAGAAATGCCTCTGCACTGCTGCAGAGAGTGAGATCTTGTGAACACGTATCTTTGTCAGTAGCGTGAGCAGATAGGCCCCTCAGTAACAGGGAACAGCTTGGCTGAGGAAGAAGGTGCTGTTTGTGGAGTAGATACACATGTTACATGTGTAGCATTCATGATGCAACCATAGTCAGAGGGCCAAGCTGTACTGGACCGATCATCTAACTAGCCCTGCAGTCCCAAAACTTGGTCCCCTCTCCATGTACAGAACGTTCTGTGAGCAATAGATGTAGACTTACCACAATCATGTCTTTGGAGATTTGTTAATACCACTGCTGGAACTAGAGCACTAAATACAAGGCATGTGCACCATGATCTGTTTCTATGGTCTGAAGTCAAGGGTGCTCCTCATGTATCCTTTGACAGTTTTTATTGGTCTGTAGCTATGGAACTGGTACCATGGAGACTGATGCAGAACCCTGAGGAAGATCAAATTAAATATTTTCAGTTTACCCCTCTTTATTGCATGTGGCAGTTTCTAAACAGCCCAGCTGAGATCATGCACTAACCCATATTGCAAAAACACAGGCCATGCTCTGAAATGCTCGAAGTTGACAAGATGGACAGAGGGCAGAAGGGAAAAGTGAAGCACAGGGAGATGATTCAACTTGCCTATTGTCTGTGATTAAGCTAGGAAAAGAAACCAGACTTCCTGAATTCAACCCCCTTTGACCTGTCCTCCAAGCATGCTGCCTTCAGTAAGCATTGACATCAGTCAGTTGTCTAAAGATATTGTCTGGCTGTATATCAAAATAATGGAAATGTTGCTTATCCCATGAAAGACTCCTGGAGTGGGGAGAAAAATGTATACTTGGAGACTGCCCTAATGCTTTGTCTTAAGTTCAAGGTCTTTTCTCTCTCTTTGAGAGAGGCAGGAATTGAGAACATCATGGAGACATGAGAGGTGTCACTTACACCTCTGCAGAGAAATGAAGAACTTAGGGAGCAGCCCAAAATTGGCCCGTTGTCAGAAGGCAGAGTTTACAGTCCAGAAGGAGCCTGGTTCCTCTGCAGCATGTGCGTGCTAGGAATAAACGGGATAGTCTTACTGAATAGGCTAATGGGTCTGGTTGGGTATATCCTCCTTGACTGGGGACTGGAAAGAAAATGAGAGGGAAATGTTCAGGCTGTCTCTTCTTCCAATCTCTGGAATCTGTGCCCACTGAAATTGAGCAAGTCCTGGAAGCAGGTGCAAGTAGGACTTCAGCATCAGAGAAGCTGATTGGACAAAGTTGCAACATTGCTTCTGGAGATGGTATTTGTGAACATAACTCAGCACAGGAGATTAGTTTAGTAATCCCTACCATAGACCTGGGTCAGCAGCACAGTGAGCCAGGGAGGCACAGCCTCAGGCTGGTAGCGGGCTCGGTGGGGCAGGGTCAGTCACATGACTCCACAGTTTTGGCACTCTTGTGCCCCAGCCAGCCCCTCCACCACCCAGTGCCACCACCTGGAGCCCAGGACTGCCTAAGCCTGCTGCCAGCCCGTGGCTGCTCTGCCCTGGCTCAGTGCTGCTATCCCAGGTACACATGAAGACGCTGTATCCGGGAGCAGTGTAGCCCAGAGCAAACTGCTCCAGAGTTTATCATGTCCCATTAATTGCGTGTGAAGATGCACCCACCATGTGTCTGCTGTGAGCTAACTATAATGCCTAATTGCAGAATGCTTTACATTGATCACCAGCAAAGAAGTATTCAGCAGTGTGAAACAAGCGGAACCTGGGCAGAGAATGCAATTGGCATCAAAGTATATTTTCTGACAGATTTATGATATTATTACCCTTACTGCAGCAGGATGAGATGCCCTTTTGCCAAACTGCAAGGATACACTCTTGTGGCCATGAGGTGTCATACAAGATCACCCTTCTCAAATGTCTGTTAGAAAATGTGATTTATTGCATTCAGATATGAAGAAACTACTTATGCTTCCTATACATTTTCACAGGTGTGTTACTAGCAAAGTATTGCTTTGATTTCTTATATGGCATGTGTGTTCCTTTAAATTTGGGAGTGGGTAAGATCCTGTTATTTTTTTGCTATGCCCACTTTACACTCAGAACTCATGTTTCATCAGCCTTCCTTCAGCAGCAAAGGTGAAGGGACTGGGTCTTCCTATGGACCCCTCAAAGTTGTTCCTCAGTAGTTCTGTTAATTTGGTTTGCTGTACTGGATGGTACATGTGCACCACTGTTTTTCTGAGCCTTTGAGGGGGGCAGATGTTGCTGTGCATGCCTTGAAGTCCTTACCCTCTGTCGAGCTTTTGTAGCTGCTTGATGAACAGCTGCCTCTCTTTGTGGCTTGAAGGAGAGAAGCAATATTAAAACAAACATTGGTGGTGTCAGAGATGCAAGTCTCTCCCATTAGGGATATTGCAAGCTTTACTGTGCCTTATTTCCAGGTAGCCATTATAATTGTCACTTCTGCATCATTTATCAGACAGTAGGAAAAAATCCACAATCAAAGCTTCATATACTTTTCACCATCTCTTGCTTTCTCCTTGCTGGATAAGTTCAGTGAAAGGATCCAGTGGAAAAGTATTTGGAACCAGTGTAACCATAAAATGTTGATGTTGACCATTAGACAGCAGAATTGCAGCCAGGGAACAGAAGGAGCAAGGGGAAGCCTAAGGTGGAGCAAAGCTGTTTGATTCCCAACTCTGCCAGACTTCCTGTGTGACCTTGGGCAAGTCGCATACTTTCTTTGGGCACATTTTTAAAGGTATTTAGGTGCCAAAAGATGTGAATAGATTTCCTGAAAATCCCCTATGGCACTCACCTGCAGCTGTAAAATGGGAGTAAAGCACGTTGTTTTCTTCTGTTTGCTGTCTGCCTTGTTTGTATGTTAGAGACAGTAACTGTCTGCTACTATGTGTTTGTGCAGCATTGGAGCTTAACTCCAGTGGCAGGTATTTGGGTGTTACTGCTATACAGATAGAAATTATTAATGACAAGGCAGGGATTTTGCAGGCCATTTGTGCAAGGTGCTAACATGGAACATAGTTGTGGTGATGTACAGTGAGGCAATCGGGGCATTTTCCAAACATGAGACTGAGAGAGCCAGAGAGAGAAATGGTGTAATCAGCTGGCAGCTAGAAGCAACCACATAGGAAGTTAGTACCAGACAAATGAGATAATAGCGTGTAGTGGAGTCTCCCAGGCTTGCTGGCTTGTTTGGGACTGTGCCAGATGTAGCTTGGATACCAAAAGCTAATGCCTGCTGCACACCATAAAATGGAGTCCCTAATGCTGCCTGAATTGTCACAATCTTCTTCTGGATACATGTAGCTCTGCCCTGCTTCCAACACTTTACAAATCCATCTGCTACATATGATAACCAGATCACACATGGGACAGAGCAGAGGCAACCAAGGCACATATTTTGTCTTTGGACCCACCCCAAAGTGTCAGCCTAAAGCTTCAACGGCAGTGATAGGCAGGCTGCTGAGCATGGCTTAATGCACCTAGAACAAGGTTAGAGCCTGTACAGCTTGAGGGGCTTGTTCCTGCGTCGTAGTGATCATCCTATTCCCCCTTGAAGCTGCATGGGAACTAAAAGGTGTGCCTGGGCAAACACCAACTGCCACAGAAATACACCATCAGCGACCCTACAATTCCCCAGCCAGGATTTGACCTACGGAGAAAGATTTGGTCCTCCCTAAATCACACCCAGACACTTTGTGGAAAATGTGGACACCTACGCCATAAATGGAGAACCAAAGCAAGTCCTGGTTGTAATTATTGTGCAACTTTTCAGACAGTGGAACACATTGTGAATTATTGCCCAATTAGATTATTTAATGGCAATGTAAAATCAATCCATGCAGCTACCCATGAAGCAGTCAAATGGTTATCAAATTTAGATACTAATCTATGAATGTTGTAATCCTAAAATGTAATATGAAAGAAGAAAGGGCAGGTTTCTTTTTGATAACACTGGGCGCGTCCAGACGAGCGTGCGCGTGCCTCTTGCCCCGTCTCAAACCCCTTTGAGACGAAAAAATGTTCCCAGTGCTGCAAGTCTGGGGAGAAAATTAGACCTCTGGATATCCAGGGGTCTAAAAATAATGGAATTTTAAAGTGGGGCAGGGTCTTCCACAGTGTGCTTCAGCACCAGAGGCTGTGTCCTCTGCAGAGGTGCTCTGGCTGCCAGAGCATCTCTGTAGTTGGCCAGTCGCCCTGGTGCTGAAGCACATGGCCTACCCGTACAGGGGCTGGGGGAGGGGATGATGGGGGGACCCCA